GATTTTGCCACTTTGCCATGGTAACTTTTCGTAGCCTTTCCAAATATCTGAATAAAATGTATATAAAGGATATCGTATGAATAGACGAGTGGACTTTATTTATTCCTTGAATAGAATCATCACTCAAATACTTCTCAATTTCATATTTCTTTTAGAATTCTCCGGTCGATTTTAAGGTGCTGAAATCAATAATAATGCCACGGTAATTTTCATACGGCTAGTAATTTACCGCGAGTAAAAACATACGTTACGATTTTGTAAGTAGGGACAGACCAGCACAGTTGCCATATGTTGAAATACTATTGAGAACTTCAGAAATGTGAGTTATTCAATAATTCATAAATTCTCAATCATGTATTGGCAATATTCCTAATTATCAATAAATATCAATTGTCTCAAAATGTTTCCTCATGTGCTGTGGCTTATTGCTTATAATACATTTGTGTAAATGATAATTATTATAATTCAAAATAGAGTACATTTTAATCGGTGAACGTGACAACACGGCACACGAATTGTGAGCGGTGCCTTGTCAGTTGTCAGCATTCAGCACATTGTTGCCAAGTCCTCGACATTCTCATGATATTTTTTTGTTTCGGACTAATAAAAATATTTGGACATGCTGGTTCCTCGAGAAAGTCAAGAATGAAATATTATATCATGGCTTCCTCCTATTATGTTTTATATCGAGTTCAAGTCAACGACAGGAGTGACAAGACTGTAATATCTTTTTGATAACTTGATTATAATTGGTGACTTGACAACCTTGCTTCATGAGTGGGAATGGAAGATTATCCGACCAATAACGAAACAGCTTAAAAAATGACGTCACCAAATGGCGGTACGTTTAAATGAGCTCTGAAATTCAACAATTTTGAACTACGCATAGGCTCATTGTGTACATGAAAAGAGCGTGAAAAGTCCCTTACGACACAGTGGAGTAATTGAATGCTAATAATTCATTATCAGTCCATCGGCCATTGTGCCACCCTCAACTTTTAATTCTCAAATACGATGGCAAAGTGGCAAAATATTTAGAAAATCTTCGTAAAATAAAAAGATTGACAAAAAAAGGATTTTTCTTGTTCAACTCCAGAACTAAAAAAGCTAGATTAGATTTTTTATCCATATAACTGACTTCTGAAACAAACAACTTTGCCCCATTTAACCACCCCTCTATCTCTCACCGTTATCGAAATCCCCATACATAGACTCTAATTTGAATAGCCCTGTATATTACTCAAATGAATGAGACATACTTTTGCGAAAGAAATATATTCTTGAAAATAGTGATAAGTATGTCAAATAAAATTGTTATTATTTGTGTTAAGCAAATATACAGGGTGTTTCACAGGTAAAGGGAAATATCTCAATGGTAGATAGGGGTCACTAAGGTGGTTCTGGAAATACCATATTTGATAGGTCTTAGAGTTTTCATAACGGAGATACAGGGCGATTTATCGATTTCGAATAATTATTCATTCGTCTATAAGTATTGAACTACCCAGTATATTTCTCTAAAATTTGGTATGGAGCTTAAACTTGGGACGTTGAATTCATTCACCTATCGGGCGAAGAAAAAATCCAGGTTCGGCTTCAGGAAAAATTCACATTTATTCGAAATATTAAAATAACACACTGTATGTAATAATTGACAGAGTTCATCGAAGGAATCGTGAAGAGGAGGAAAAACTGAACTCGATTTGATGCTTTTTGTTTTCCCTCCACCAATTCTCATCGTAACAATCATAAACAGAAAGCTGAAAGTATGTCAATTTGAAGAGTATTGAAATTATGAAACCAGTGTCAATTATGATTATTCGATATATTTCAGTCGAAAAATCGCTCGAAAGAACTTACTAAGTCTGACAGTTTTTATAACGGAGATACAGGGTGAATTATCGCTTTTGAATAATTATTCACTCGTCCATAAGTATACAACTACCCAGTAACATTTTCTCAAATATGGTATGTAGCTTACTTGGGACGATGGATTCATTAACCTATCAGGCGGAATTATAATTCGATTATTCACCCTGTATCTCTGTTATAAAGACTATGAGACTTTTCCTGAAGCTGAACCTGTATTTCCATTCTGCCTGATAGGTCGATGAATCCATCGTCCCAAGTAAGCTCAATACCAAATTTGAGAAAATATTACTGCGACGGGTAGTTTAATACTTATGGACGAGTGATAATTCACCCTGTATCTCTGTTATAAAGACTGTGAGACTAAGAAAGTTCTTTCGAACGATCATTTAACAAGAATATATCAAATAATCATAATTGAAAGTGGTTTCATAATTTTAATACTCTTGAAATTGACATACTTTTAGCTTCCTCTTTATGATTGTTACGATGAGAATTGGTGGCGGGAAAACAAAAAGCATCAAATCCAGTTCAGTTTTTCCTCCTCTTCACGATTCCTTTGATGAACTTTGTCAATTATTACATACAGTGTGTTATTTTAATATTTCGAATAAATGTAAATTTTTCCTGAAGCCGAACCTGGATTTTCACTTCGCTCGATAGGTGAATGAATTCAACGTCCCAAGTTTAAGCTCCATACCAAATTTTAGAAAAATATAGTGGGTAGTTCAATACTTATAGACGAATGAATAATTATTCGAAATCGATAAATCTCCCTGTATCTCCGTTATGAAAACTCTAAGACCTATCAAATATGGTATTTTCAGAACCACCTTGGTGACCCCTATCTACCATTGAAATATTTCCCTTTACCTGTGAAACACCCTGTATACTTGAATATCGAAAATTCAATTCTTCTCTGAAATGATGAAATGATTGAACATTATTCAGACTGAATTGGTTTTGATCAATTACTAGTGAAAATTGTCTTTTACTTTGGCCTTGCTTCACAGTGCATGTAGCAAATCAGCGGCAGTTTTGATAACAATGAGAAATATGGGTTCAACAATAATGAACCGAAATATGTCAATCAATGTCTTCATTTGGAATGAACAGAATGAAATCATATGAATATCCATAACTTCTTCTCAAAAGCTCTTAAGTCCTCTACTAAATAGATAACATACAGATCAGAACCTCTGTTCACGTGAAGAATCAAAACAAGATTGTCCTTCGCATCACTGCAGAAATATTCTAGAAGATTGACCAAATAGTTCATCATAAACTTACTTTGTTGTCTGACATGGATTTCAGCTCAAATAATGAATCAACTAATAGATTTATACTTTCTCAACAAGCGCAATCTAATCCTATCCTCTCTTGCAGACTTACGAGTTTTTGAGTTCAAAATCTCTCAGAGTAGAGTTAGGAGGTTTAAATTATATCTAATAGATGTCGCTACCAAACACATAGACTACTATGATTTGGTGATGAGTGCGCTGAATATCGTAAATGGTGGATGGTGATAATGTTCAAACCTGAAATTCCCTAGAATTCGGACTTACGAGGTTTTGATAGTAAGCCGACGATATACCTTTTCCACAATTTCTCAATAATTGGTCTATCATGCATATATTTCACTATTTCTTCTTGTTTTGAAATAATTGCAATATCTAATACACTATATCTTCGTTTATTCTTTATATTAACATCACCTCCACTAGCCACTAAGATTTTCAAACAATCCAAATGACCCCTATATGCTGCACAATGGAGAGGAGTGTTACCTTTTATATTCGGGATATTAACATCAGCTCCATTATCCACTAAGATTTTCAAACAATTCAAATGACCCAAAAATACTGCAGAATATAGAGGAGTACTACCTTCGTTATCCTGGATATTAACATCAGCTCCACTATCTACTAAGATTTTCAAACAATCTCGATGACACTGGCGTGCGAAATTGAACAGAGCTTCATTGTAGTAATACTGGATATCCTTCGAACCTACTAGCAAATGGAGGAGAGTACGACCTTTGTTATCCTGGATATTAACATCAGCTCCACTATCTACTAAGATTTTCGAACAATCTGAATGACCCCGACGTGCTGCCGAATAGAGAGGAGTAGTGCCTTTGTTATCCTGGATATTAACATCAGCTCCAATATCTACTAAGATTTTCAAACAATCTGAATGACCCCCATATGCTGTCCAATGGAGAGGAGTTTTACCTATGTTATCCTGGATATTAACATCAGCTCCACTATCTACTAAGATTTTCGAACAATCTGAATGACCCCGACGTACTGTCCAATGGAGAGGAGTTTCACCTATGTTATCCTGGATATTAACATCAGCTCCAATATCTACTAAGATTTTCAAACAATCTGAATCACCCCTATATGCTGTCCAATGGAGAGGAGTTTTACCTATGTTATCCTGGATATTAACATCAGCTCCACTATCTACTAAGATTTTCGAACTATCTGAATGACCCCTACGTGCTGTCCAATGGAGAGGAGTTTCACCTTCGTTATCCTGGATATTAACATCACCTCTACTTGGTGGATGAAATAAATCGTTTTTCCTATTTTTTTTTCTTGCCAGAACATTCACTCTGGCTCCTTCTTCCAACAAATGTTTCAGTATGTTGAAATTGCCCACGGTTGCTGCGATGTGCAGAGCTGTGGCTCCATAATAAGTTCTCTCGTGGATATTGACACCCCTTCTTGTCAGTTCTTCGACCATTTCAAAATTTTTATTTTCCACAGCACAGTGTAGAGAAGTTTCTCCTTCAGCTCTCGTTTTTACATCAGCACCATTTCCGATAAAATAGGAGAACAGCTCTGTGGAATTCTTTTTCACACTTAAGTGGAATGGGGTGTAACCTTTTTTGTCTGCAACATGGATTGTGGCCCCTCTACTGACAAGATATTTTACTAATTCCATTTTGCACTTCGCGGCTGCATAATGTAGGATTGTACGACCATATTTATCTCTTCCGTTCACATTTGCTCCCTTGTCCAATAAGAACTCTATTATTTCTTGAAATTCAACGGCTTTTTCTAATAAAGTAGTATTATCAGATAAACAATTATGGTTATGAAGAAAAGATTTATTATTTTTACTCTTCTCTAGTATTAGTTTCAAAATATTTTTGCGGCCTTCTCTTACTAAAATGTTCATTTTGTTGTAGTGATCCCAAGTTATAGAGTCAAATGTTGAACCGCAAATTTCAAAAACCTTCATTGGGATTTGGGAGTATTCGTTGGTGAGGATGCCCTCAAAAAAAGCTCTGATCATTTCAAATCCCGGGTGTATAAACAAGTCTTTCAAAAGGAAAATCACAAATTTGTTGCGTTTTGCAATCTCTTTCAATTGTACCCACATTGCCTTAGCCAAAAAATATTCAGCGAATGTTTGATGAACGAACAATAGCTCGTCTCCAATTTCTTGTAACATTCCCATTCCGATGATAGTTTCCTTGGAGCTATTGTTAACATATTTGGAAACATTCATCAATGAATATTGATGATCATTAAGTAATAGTCCAGCAGCAAGTTTTTGGTGCTCATTTATATAATCTTCATAGATTTTCGAAATAATCTCCTTTGCTTTTACATTTCCTTGAGTATCGCATTTATCTTCGATGAAGATATCTTTTTTCTTCTCCACAAACATATCGTATAATTCAGTTATGTTTATCTTATCTGGTAATTCCAAGGTCCCATTTTCAGATAGTAAAAAATCTTTACAACACACCCACTGGTATTTCTTGTCATCAGAGCCCTGAAATATTTCCGCAATCATTCTGGTCTGAAGTGGAATGCCTATGAAATTCCAAGAGGTGTATCCTATCGAATTTCCTAGTTTGCTTATCAATGTTTTTGCATAAATCTCACATTTAGTTAACTTTTCATCATCATCTATTGTGAGGTTCTGCTTCCAATATTTCATGAGAAAATCAGTTTGTTCTAATTTTGAGTATGGAAGTAATTGATATGATTCAGTTTTCAGGAAGGATTGCAAATCCTTCTTTAAATGAGGACGAGTTGTAACAAATATTTTAGAAATATTTTCACGTTCAGACGTTTGAAGCATAAAATTGTTAACTAGTTTAGTGTAGTCCGGACTTATTTCATCCACAGCATCGACCATCAGGATGATGTTTTTTGTATTTGAGAAAATATTTTGTTCTAAACTATTTTTAAAATAATTCTTATCTTTTGACTGTAGTATCTCTTCTAAATTAATTGATTTCTTTTTCGCTGTTTTAAATTCTCTAAATATGCTGGTAAACATATTCAGATCAATTGTTATGAGGAAAGAACTGGGATATATTTTTTTTATTAAAAACCCAAGTTTAGTTAAGACAGTAGTTTTGCCCTTTCCTGCTCCATCAGAAATTAAAACGAATTTTCCAGGTTGACCAACGAAATTGCAGACATCTTGTTCTGTGAACTCATATAACTTGTCTTCAGTCTCGAGTATAAATTTTCTCTCCATGTAATAATGCTCAATTGCACCCAAGTCTCTAATGGCTCTACCTATTGTGATATTTTCATCATTTATCAAGTTGATAATAGTTGCCTGGTCTATTATAAAATCAATGTTATTCAATGAATTAATCATGAGCTCTTTGATAGGCAGATCTTTTCCTTGAAAATTAACTTTTTTTGACAAAAGGGTAGTTTGGCATGCTTCTGTTAGATCAGTAAATTTTATTTCATCCTGATTTACATCATCCTGTATTGGGACTTTTGACACAATTATGACTTTCTTGTATTGTTGTCTATTTAATATATTATTTATACGTGATTGAATTATACGAAATTGATCAGAGTTTCTGAAGGAAACGACAAGTATGCAGTATACAGGAAGCTCAAATGATGCTATTATTTTGTCCAAAATTTCGGTTCCATCACTTGGATCGATGAACAGAAGTTGATCTTTTTTGTAAAGTTGGTCGTTTTTGCTGGGGCTATGAACTCTCAGTAAGCTTCTATGGATCTTGAGTATATTTAAGAAATGATAATTTGATACAATATTGGTTATTTGATTATCACCAAAGGCATATAATTCCTTGAAGTCTATTTCAAAAGAATCTAGTTTTTCCAGGTAATCCTGACTTCGCGAGTCGTATAAAAAAGCTATAACGTGCGACTTTTTGATACGTCTTTCTTTTTGCAGTTTTCCCTGAAAGAACTCGTCTATTTTCTCTCTAAAATGAAGTTTAGAAAATTTCAAACCAAACATTTTCTGTGCTTCTTCTAGTTTGTTTTTAATGCCGTCTTCTATTGCTAAATCGTCGATATGAAGAAACCTAAATTCCCCACAAAATTTCAGGGAATGATCATCAATTGCATTCAATATTCCTTGAATCTCTTTTATTTTTGAGCTTTTGAATTGATAAGATTTGTACTTTCCTGGTATTATAGTAATCTTCATGGGTTCAAGGAAATCACCATCCGAAGGACCAATATTTGAGCATAATATCATCAATAGCTGCCGTTTGAATGAGTTACAGATTTTCATCTTATAGGAGTTGTAATATTCCGGAAGGAGGGTTTTCCAATCGAGTACCGGATCCTTTGATTTTTTCTTTCCTTTTTTATGTTTGCATTGAATCAAAATATCTATTCCACCATCTCCACTTTCCAAAACAACATCATCAAATTTTCCTGCATTCTCATTCTCTGTTGATAATTCCCATTTTTCATCTTGTAATGAAATGGCCTGTAGAGCGATCAGTCCAAAAACCTTCAGCTGGTAGTCCGTTCCACTGCGTCCTGCGTCGTTATTGGCCATTTTTTCTGTTGTTCTGAAAAAGTTCCAGTATATAAGGTACATACAGTGTGTTACAATTCGGTCCACCCCACCCTTCCTCCAACCCAACCCTCCACCTGGACTTTCATAATCCTAGAGTGATTTGAAAAATTTTCTTCTTTCAAAATATTCTACATAAAATTATCTATTTCGAGCAGAAACACTTCTTACCCTACTGCGAGCACAAAAACTGCAGCAAAATTGAAACAAACAGATTATTATTTTTTTTACAATAATTTTGATAATGGCAATCGATTTGGACTAGTCACAAATACTCCTATATCAATTTTCAAAACAATATATCGTAAGGGATGTTTTTTATTAACATCACAATTTTTGAATAATTGGATTCTTCAAGTCACCGTGTATAATTATTTTTATGAGAATTCGAATGCTACCAGGCATGATTGTATTTAGGTAGATCATCTGATTACAGAGTGAGATAAATAACGAATAAAATCACTAGAAATTCAGATTTTTTATCAATGAATAAAAAGTGAATTTTCGCATCTAATCAATTTTTCACCACTCGCTCCACTAGTTTTCAATATTCTATTACTCAGGTTGCAATATATTCGGATTCTAAAATGATTACACAATACCAAAGACAATATTAGCTGTCAAAGTTGTTTGAGAAGAGCGAAGCGTAATTCATTTCCACAGCTTTCACACGATTTCCAATTCCTAGGATTCATCAGAATTGAACAATTACAGAAAACATTTCTCCTTGTCATTATTTTTTTGCGAGTTTTTTGCGCCTTCACAACCCATGATCATAATCACCATAATTTTACTTCAGGTCAAGAAATAGAAAACAATTGTGACAAAAAAGAATATTTTGCAGAAAGATAACACCAGAAGAACTGAGGAGAGTTGAAAGAGATATGAAAAGTGTAGGTATAGAGAATAAAGGATATTTGATCGAGAATAAAGAAATCTGAACTTGTTAGAAATAATCGCCGATTTGTTCATTGCCTAATCTTTTGATGTTATTTTTGAATAGATATTTTTTATTCAGTTTTTTCTCTTTCTTCTTGTTCCTCAATGAAAAATCAAAATTTCCATTGATTTTATACATTATTTTCCTAACTCTGTAGCCATCAGATGATCTTATCCTGACAGCTAGTATTGTGATTGTGTAATTATTTTCAAATCTGAATGTATTATAACCTCAGTAATAGGATTTCGGAAATCAGTGCAGCAAGTACTGAAAAATTGATGAGATGCAAAAACTAACTTTTTATTTCTTGATAGAGAATCAAAATTTCTATTCATTTTATTCGTAATTTATCTAACTTTGTAGCCATATGATCTACCTGACTTGAAAAATACAATCATTCAAAAATTGTAACGTTGATGAAAAACCCTTATGGTATATTGTTTTGAAAATGGATGTAGGAGTTTTCGTGACTAGTCCGAATCGATTGCCAATTTTCTTTAGTTCCGCTGAAGTTATTGTGATTGATATTTTATTTGCTCGACGAAGTAGATAATTTTGAGTATATTATAAAAAAAATCAAATCAATCTAGGATTATGAAAGTACAGGGGTTTGGTGGACCAAATTGTAACACACTGTATACTCAGATCATATAACAATTCGTGAAAATCATAAAGTGTGTGGCTTCTGGTGTCGAACTTTCGAACCTTCCCGAAGGTGATCAATAAACCAATCTAGCATTGTCTATAATTTTTCAAGCAGATTTCGATGCCTTTTCGATAGTTTTTGGAATCATATTGTGCCTATATATAAACTTAGTTATTGTTAAAAAAAAAACATCTATGAAATGAACAAACCATAGTGAGAGTTGAATCAAGGAAGTAATTTTCAGTTTCTTAGTACTCTTCCTGGAGTACAGATTTCCTTTCATTAAATGAATCACCTTCTAGAGATATAAAATTGTGTGAAAAAGTCCTGCTGAGTTACTGCGATAATTGAAAAACATGGCAGTAGCAACATGCACTTTCCCAATGGGCATGTATACGTCGAAAAAACGTTGAATAATGGTTTAGTAAGTATTCGTCGAATATCTGTAAAAACGTAGCAGGAAGAAACGTTTTTTTCAATCAATAGTTTTGATAAAAAGGAAAAATACGTATTTCCAATATATTTATCAACAAATTGTTAGGTAATTACGTCGAATTTGTGTTATTGAATCAACGAGTAACGATTTTCAACCCAAAGTTGAATAAACGTTGATTCAATGTACCTGTGCCCATTGGGTTATAGCTGGCAATGTTACAAATGGAAAGCTATTGTAAACCAGGAATCAAACCGTCACATAAAATAAAAACATGTACAACTTTATAACAAATTTATTAAATTGAGTCACAAGTAATCATATATCTATCTTGGAATTCGGTCAAAAACTAACATGTCAGATCATAAAAAAATCAGAACTACTCTCTTCTGTCAATTTTTATCCAATGAAAAAGTAAAAAAAAAAATCATTTCACACGAATCCAGTTGAAAGGTGAGAGTTATCAGCCAGGTCGAAATTGAAAATTCATTCGAACGATTTTGTTCCATATTTTTCTATTGAACCGGTCAAAGTGTGCCGTGTAGATTGAAGAGCAGTTCTTATAGCATTTTGTCTGATCTTTCTGGTTCTGATAGATTTTTTCGAGAAAAGTGGTCACAAAGTGAACTTTTTTGACATAACAATGAAACATGGAATTTTTCCAAGTCTGGACCTGGATATTTTTTTTCATAATATGTTATCTCGAATAGTTCCAGTAGAGATACGTCGCTGCCAAATTCCAGCAGATTACGATGAATCATTTCTGTAATATCGGCCATCAAAGTTATGTAACAATTTCACATAATACCCTGTATCTTCGTTATGGAGGGGCAAAAAATGTTTTCAATATACAGGGTGGCCCACTTATGCTCGCTCGGACCATAGCTGCTAGGCTGATAGAGATAGAAAGAAAATTTCATCGGAAGTTATTGAAGACTTCATAAGCTACTCTTCAAAATTATTTTCTAGTATACAGGGTGCACCATGAATCCGGGGTGAAAGAATCGATCGTTTTTTTAAATGGCACACCCTGTATATTATTTCATTTTCGGAATCTCTCTCATGTGGGCTTCACAAACCTATTTTGTTTTCGAAGATCAGATGCGACGTTGTCAAGTTATTAACATTTTAATCAAATTTGACGAGAAAACATGAATGTTGAAGAATATTCAGGGAAACTATATTTTCGGAGATTAATGAACACAACTGGGTATACAGATACTGAAAGTATGTGTAGAAACTCAGACATCATTTCGGTTCACTCAAAATATACATGGTGTTTTAAAATAAGGACCTAATTTCGCTATTTTCAAATCGCCGAAACTAATTTTTTTTAAATGGATCACCCTGTATATCATTTCATAACTTTGAAGTTCATCCAATGGGCTTTTCGATGATACCATATAGACCGTATCCAACGATACTCTTCGATAGGTAAATAACGATAAATCAATTCAACTGTACATTTTTATTCAAAAACAATAACAAACATAGAGAAACTTCAACTGACAATGAGAAATGTTCAAACTCATGGAACATATCAGTTCATGAAATGTTCAAAATGTCTTCCATTCTGCTGGATTCATTGTTGAGCTCGATGTTTAATCGAATTCCTTACTTTTGACAACATTTCTGGTGTTATATTTGCAAAAGTTTCCCTTATCCTCATCTCCATGTTTTTTTCGTTGTTACTTCGGTTGAAATATAATTGATGAATCTTGTTGTAGAAACTGTCAAGATGTTTTCAGTGATTGCTTTTCATTCATCTCGAAAGAGTAATAAACAATAATTATCCACGTGAATTGAGCTATATAAATAAAACAATCAAAGATTGACTTCGAAAAACATATTCAATGAAAAAATACACTTCAAGCACCTCATCGAAGAGGATTTCTTTCAAAGTCAATCCATTCAAATACTTTGAATCATAAATATTCTCAATATACGTTCGTAAATGTTTTTGATTGAAAAAAGTATGATTTCGTCGTTATTCGCCTATCGAAGAGTAACGTTGGATACGGTCTGTATGGTATCACCAAAAAGTCTATTTGATGAGGTTTCAGATTATGAAATAATATACAGGGTGATCCATTTGAAAAAAATGACTTTCGGCGATTTGAAAATAGCGAAATTCGGTCCTTATTTTAAAACACCCTGTATATTTTGAGTGAACCCAAATAATGTCTGAGTTTCTACACATACTTTTGGTATCTGTATACATAGTTTTGTTCATAAATCTTCCAAAATAAAGTTTCCCTGAATATTTTTCAACATTCATGTTTTCTCGTCAAATTTGATTAAAATGTTAATAACTTGACAACGTCGCATCTGATCTTCAAAAACAAAATAGTTTTGTGAAGCCCACATGAGAGAGATTTCGAAAATGAAATAATATACAGGGTGTGCCATTTAAAAAAACGATCGATTCTTTCACCCCGGATTCATGGTGCACCCTGTATACTAAAAAATAATTTTGAAGAGTAGCTTATGAAGTCTCCAATAACTTCCGATGAATTTTTTTTTCTATCTCTATCAGCCCAACAGCTATGGTCCGAGCGAGCATAAGTGGGCCACCCTGTATATACATCAACTCGTCTTGATTTCCCCTATTAACCATTTGGCTATGTGAGTCTTCTCATGAAACACCCGGTATAATTTTCGTCAATCCGTGACTGGATGTCCAAAATTACATCCATCATTTCAGCTATCTCTGTATCCTTTGACGTACGAAATCCATATTGACCACTCTACAATAGATTGTTATTTTCGAGGAAGTCAAAAAGACGATTATTCATGATTTTTTCTATAATTTCAAAAAGAATAGAGAGGACAGATATTGGCCTGTATTTATTCATATCGTCTTTCTCACCAGTTTTGTGTATTGGCAATACTTTACCAATTTTCATTTTGTCAGGAATAATACCAGTTTCAAAAGTTTTGGAAAAAATTTTCAACAAGATGGTAGTTAATTCAGATTTGATTATTTTTACAATTTTCACAGTTATGCAATCAAATCCACAAGATTTCCGTACATCCAAGTTATCGACTATATTTTCAATTTCTGGAATATTTGTTGGTGTTAAGAATATAGATGAAACATTTGAACAATCGTTCAATGTTTCAGAAATTTGAGGTATTTTCGAAGATGAATTTGGACCAACATTCAACAGAGATTATTAATTTCATCACTCATCTGATGACTACTTTCAATTTTGATATTATTCAATGTGATATATTCGATATTATCGGTCTGATTCTTTGATTTATTGTATGAGAGTGAATTGATTCCATTCCAAACTGATTTCGGAGTTCTATTGAAAAAAAAGGTTATCATAAAATTTCTTTTTTGATTCCCTTATTGTTTGGTTCACCAAGTTATTATCGATTAATATTGATCTTTGAAATAATTTATATTTGGGTGATTTTTTCTTTCATGATGGAATTTGTCACGTAATTTGATGAAATTACTGACATTATGATCAAATCACACCTCTGTCTAATAATTACCTCATATGTTCCATCAAGATTATTGTAATTATTGATATTGAAATTCATTATTTCCAATTCAGTTCGAAATTTTTCTATGTCATAATATGTTCTTATTAATTTGGTCACATATTTCTTATTGTCAAAGATTGGTTCAGGAATGCAAGTTAGGTAAAATTTATGGTCACTTAATGAGTTGTAGATAATGAAAACGTCAAGATTATTTTTTGAATTTGTTATAAAATGGTCAAGTGGTGATGAGTTTCTTGTTGAAATACTTTCATAACAATTTCTGAAACTACTAGAATTGTGAATAACTATCAAATCTTTAGATTCAGTACTATTCATTAATACATTTATGTTCATATCACCAAAGTAAAAACAATCACATTTGTTTCTATTAATTGTATCGAGTGACTTTTCCAAAAAATTCAAGAAATAACGGATATTTAGAGCTTGTGGTCTATACATGCCACAGAATACTATTTCTGGGGATTTGATTTTAATTACCAAATATGTTAAAGGGGATTCTTCTTTCTGAATGATATCAAAATTGAAATTTTCATGTATGAAAATTTCTATACCACCAAATTTCTACGTACCTTATTTTCTAGTTTTGTTGAGCAGGGGTCTTAAATCCAAGGTGATAATCCATGCTGATCATCCTTTTTAACATTTTCATCCAAAATCAGCGATCCGACATATGATGCATGCTAAGGAAAAAATCCGTTTTAAATAACATGGACAGCTACGATTCCAATTTGAAAAAATACTTGAAATTGCACTTTTCATCAATGCTACCAGATTATAACATATTTATATTCATATATTCAGAAAGACCGTTATTTTCTTATAAACTGGATTGTGATATACCGGGTGTCCCAACTCTATTCATACACGCATTCTCTCGAAAACGGTTGACATTATCAATGTTCTGAAAAAACTGGCTTGAATGAGAAAGTGTATCGATGAAAATGGCCAACCTATAATTTTCGAAGTTCAATAATTCAAAAATGATTACGAATATTAATATGAATGTTGAGATGAAAGATGTTTCTGTTTCGATTTTATACCAAATGACCTAAAAATAAATATAGGGTGTTCCATTCGAAAAACTCGAGAAAAATCACTTCCAAAAGTTCTGAATTGAAAAATCAGTTTTAGCCACCCTGTATGATTTGAGGGCATGAAAATTCTACAGAAATATCACGCATCTTTCCATCAAATGATAATATGATTATTCTATCTTGGATTTCATAATTGTGACTAGTGATATTTTTGGTATGCATCTGCAGATGACATTATTTCGACAAAAAATTTAATAACTTCGAAATGATCCAGATATAGTCAACAATATTATAGGAGTTGTTGGAGGTCCTATAGGAATGCTTCAAAAAATGTGCTAATATACAGGGCATTCCGTATTAAAAAAGTGATCCTGACCCTCTAGATTTTTTCCGGTGCCCCCTGTATATGCGGCAATAATTTCTAGTTATGGACCTTGTTGTCCCATTCACATTCGTTTTCGAATCGAGTTTCTAGCTATCATAGAACTCGAGCAATTGTGCTCCGACGCACTAATGCACCACCCTGTATATGCAATGAATAGTTAGGATAGGCTTAATCACAAAATAGGTGCGACAAGAATCCCTCGAGCCCAGGTCGAATAATCTTTTTTGTAACACACATACTCGATTTACTCCTGTTGCTGCTCCCCAAGCAATAGCATTGAATGATAAGTATGGGAATATTCCAGTGCATAGTGAATATTTGTCAGGTATTTCACGGTGAACAAGTTTTTCAACGGTCGAATAGCAAAATTGGCACTATCAAGTTTTTTGCCTACATGGCCTATTTGGAGGTTCCAACATTAACAGTGATCAATTCTGGTTCCCAAGAACTTGGTGTGAGTTGAAAATGTGTCTGTGGGCAATACATCTGTTAGATTATTTGGCGGTGTTCTTCTTCGTGAAAAATATATAAAATATTGCAGTTATTAAGACATTCTAATTGAATTGAATATACTGCTCATTCGTGGCCCAGTGACGACTGACTAACGTATTAACAACATTAAGTGGTTCATCTTCACACAAGTAATTTCAGGGCTAAATCATTCCTCATGATTTGTTCTTCAATTCCGTTTATGTTGCTTCATATCGAAATTTCTGAAATTTGTGGAAAATCGGCAATGTGGAGTGAATTCATTGTGAATCTCAAGTTACCTTTAAATCACAACTGTAAATTACGTTGTCTGCTGTAACAGTTAGTTGGGTGGTAACAAATACTCAAGTCTTAGGTAGAGGTAGATTGCTTATGATTGAAACCTCATAGTATTGGTATTGTTCAACATACTATCACGAACTATTCAATCGAACTTTCAAGTCTGGATATTTTCGAAGGAGCATTTCAGTATATACTACATTCAATATTTCGAATTGATGAGAATCAATTATGGAGTTATACAACCTCCTGTCTATTCACTTGTTCACTTCACATCTTACAATGACGAATGACGACACACGCTCAAAAATACAGGAAAAACAAAGTGGAAGAACCATGAAGAAAACATCACTGGTCCATTGAATATAAAATAATGTCAATGAAATAAATCGGTATACTAATGGTACATTGTGATTTCATTGATGAGTTCATGACATTGAAGTATCTATATTATTGAATCATCGTTCAACCAGTACTGTTCCAGTGTAGAATACACATCTTGATTCAGATAAATCTATGCAAAATATTATATTTTACCAACACAACAAAAGTGCATCATACGTATTATACAGGGTCCAGACCTCGGTCCAGACGATTCAATAGGGACAGTATTGCTATATATGCCGTTTCGCAAACTGAAAAAAATTCTTCCGTTCCTGAAATATTTTGAAATTACTGAAAATAGCTGATTTTGTTTCTCAGTTCGAGGTATTCAATCAACACAAAGAAGGAGACATTATCAGAAATATTCTATCTTTATCAGTTTGAGAGATATACTATGCAACTTTTGTTTTTCTCATGGGCGTCATATTTGTTTTTTATACCATTGAAAAGGGCTGAAAATTCCCTCCACAGCCATGTATAACATATCGACATGATCACATTGTCATGAAACAGCGTCAAAAAACAGTAAAAACCATTTTTTTGCCAGTTGTCACTGATCAAAATTGAACTGCCATACATTTTGAAATGTGGTGGGCCATGATAATAAGTAATAGTTATTTAACCAACTAGTGTATTAATGAGGGCGATCAATGATCGAGATATTTTAACGTGCGAGCGAAGCGAGCGCGTTAATGTTCGAGATCATTGATCGCCTTTTAATATACGAGTTGGTTACAAAAATTTTCCGTCGACTTTATTTCTCATTTCTCCTGCAATGAAGAAAACTTAGTTCGTGAATTCATCATTCATCTCGAAACTACTAAGAATCACTCAGTAGCCTTGTTACTGACATTAGTGACATTTGACATTTGTCGAAATGATCAACATAGAAAATAAATTCCTTGTGTTAGGAAACAGGGATTTAAATAGTTTCAGAAACTTGGAAAGGCGAACCCGTTAACGGAAAATCTTCGATGAAATCCATATTTATGATTTAAATGCAGATTTCCTAAGTTATAGCATAAACAATGAATGCGCGCGGTGTATGTTTGGTTGCCTATAAAACAATCGTGCATTAATACATAACATAAATGTATCTCGAAACATTTTGAAGTGAGTTTTTCAAAGTGT